TTGTCGATGAATATATGATCATGATAAAGTTGAATTAAACAATAAAAAATTAATTAATTAATCGAGCACCTGCTTATCCTAGCAACAGGAAGTTTACATCTAGAGGATAAAAGACAAAACCGTTACCGGTAATGCGTTACCTTTTTGAGAGTTACCTCCCTTAGACCATAATCAGCCAAAGCTGCTTAATAAAAATGAAATAAAATCTATAAAAAAAAAAGAAGAAAGAAATAGAATAATAATAATAATAAAAAGAATCATAGACAGGTACTAGGCCAGTGTGATATTATTCATTATTTTTGAAATTTTGATGAGGTATAACTTGTGTGGCGGGGAAGGTTACCTTTAAAAAAAATCTTTCGAGATTTCACCAAACATTTTGGCATAAAATCACACACAGTATAATAGAAAAAAGAAATAATGAAAATAATAAGGGGAAAAACAATGTGTCATTTGTCCTGAAGGAGATCGTAATAATTCAAAAGTTCCAAAATTTTCGAAGAAAAGGCATCAATTTAATGCGATTGCTTAGCTACTATCAATTAATGAACACCTCTTAGACATTTTTTTTTATGATTTATCCATTCAATCCCAAGATTTCTTGAATTAAAAAAATAACAATCCATAATGAATTCATTCTGAGAGAGTAAGGAACGACAACTCTGCACGGGATTTTGTTATACCACGTTTGCTTTTGTCGTTTTGATTAGTACGGACTAAGGGCTTACCGAGTTCTACATACAGTTCATTGTTATGCACATTTTTAAATTTAATATAAATGCTCAACTATTGTGGTATTTGCCACAAATGGTGCTTTGTTCAGCTTTTCATTTAGCTGCAATAATGTAGCCCTCTCCGATTTTTTTTAATCTGATGTTTTCTGGAGAGGGTTAGCTTTTCATTGGGTTATAAATAATTTGTGTTTGGTATAGAGATTGTCAAACATGAATATATGAAAGTCAGGTTATAAATGCAGTATTATGCACGATCATTCAGCTTTGAAATAAGATTGAGAAAATGCCTTTTGTGTGTCTTCATTTACTTTTCAATTTATAAAGAGATAATGACCCAATATTTGCTTTCGATTCACGTTATTACTTCATATGGAATTAACAGCCATGTATTAAGTGATAATTCGTCTTTTGCTTTGATTTTATTTTAAAAAATGAGAGGTTATCTGATATGTTACTAAACATAATACAATGTACTATAGCTAGTATATATACCGATTTTGCATCAAGAAAAATGGTAATAAGGACATGAATGACAAAGCATGTATATTTTATACATTTAAAAAATGGATTACTTTTTAAAAATCTTTGTTCCCTTGATTCATTCTTGAGCTAGTGACACTTAAAAAAAATAATATCGGACGTTCTAAACATCTTTGTCTATAATCTCGCAAGTCATTGAATTTTGATTAAGTCTAATGAGGTAACGGCTAACTAAATATAAATTAATAATTGCCATATTTGAATACATTTAAATTTTCTTATACCATTATATAATTACATCGAGGATTTTTTTTATCACAAGAATAAACCAAGGGACTCCATATATACTGCTGAAAATTACAACAATAAAATAGCCCAAGTGACCACTTTTCACTGACTTATTATGTACTAGATAATGTTTATTCCACTGGAATATCAGTTGATTGATGTGTGAGGACTTCCAAAGGACGCCCTTGATGTATAGATAGTAAATATAAGACTGCACTCGCAGTCCTGATAAAATGTTTGGTTATTTGCAGAATTCTTATATCTTCGTTTACTTTACCTCAGATTAAAATTTTATCTCACCAGTCGGCATGGCAATACTTACCATAAATTTACATAAGTGACGTGTAACTATGTTCAATATAATTGATTATCGAAGTACGAAAAGGTACCATCCGAATTTACAAGGCTAAATGGTTTAACCGTTTTGTTTTTCATTTTTTATTTGCACTTTGATGGATTGAGTAAAATGTACTCTCACACCCTTCCCTTTGGTGAGCCCCAGAGAGTTTCCACTTGTCCTTTGAAATATGCACATATACTTGTATGTTATCAAACTGTAGAAAAACAAAATGAGGGACATATAACAAGATAAATGAGAGCTGAAAAATAAACAATTCTTGGTCCTCAGTCAAGATAATGACAGGTTAACCGACCATACTTTATAATGGTATATCATTTCAGTTCATTTCTATTACACTCTTTGAAAATAATTTTCACATATGGTTTAAATTATATGTGCAAATGTTTACAAAACACACAGTTTGCGAATGGCTAAACGAATAAATACTAGTATGTAGAGCCATTAAAACAAATTAGAATAAATAATTTAAAATATATTCTAGCTTTCTTCTTTTTTTTGAATATCATTTAGTTTCTTTTTGCAAATTAACATAATGAAGAGAAATTAATCTACAGAACACAACTGTTTTAAATAGTCTGTAAATAAAAGCCAGGCTTCAGTTCAAAAGTTCAAAACAATTCATCATGTCAACATTAAACGTCTAGACACTGGTTCTGTCGGCATTACCTTATAAAATAATTATAACTTCATCCGACATCTTACAGCAAATTCACCTATAAAAACTTTTTCTTTGAATGTGTATAATTATCAAACAAAAGAAGAGTATACAAAAATTATGCAACTATATACTAAAAATTCTAGTTTAAATCAGCAAAAATTCAGCAGACTGGTTAATGGCAAGTTTGTTTATGGAAGATAAGAATGACGTCATCGGATGAACCCCCATGACCCGGAAGACAACACCTTTAGATAAGTGACAACAGGTAATTTTTTGGTTACGCGGTAATACTGCACCTATTATTGAGCACTATCGTCGTTATGATGTAATTTTTTTTCATTATTTTTAGCATTGTTTTTAGCAGCGCACGCGCATTCATATTTATAAAATGAAAAGTTATTGCACTTAAATATTCCAACAACAATTTTTTTTATTAATTTTTTTTTCAACAGACATGTACTGATAGTCTTCAGTGGTGATAGTCTTCAGTGGGAGTCGCTAAAATTAATATTCAACATTTTTAATTACCTTTTGTCGCCTGCTTTCATTGAAAGTGGGGGATATTAATTTGGGTGTGTCTGTTCGTCAGTCAGTCTGTTTTTCTGCCTATGTGCCTGTCTTTAATACTTTCGTTTCCGCACAATATCTCGAGAAGCTTTTTTAATGAAATTTTACATAGCACTTCCTGTGGCCTAAATAGGAAAACCCCTATTGAATTCGAGGTCAAAGGTCAAGAATAAAAATTCATCAAACCTGTCTGTTTTATACAAACACATCGTTTCAAAGCCATATCTCGAGAAACCTTTGAACTTTTGAAATGAATTTATAAATCACAACTCCATATGGCCTAAATAAGACCCCTATTGGTTTTGAGGCCAGAGGGTCAAAGGTCAAGGTAAAAAAAAAATACACATTATTTTAATTTTGTGTGTAAAACTTTCATTTCCGAAGAATCTTTTGAGTATTTGTAATAACATAACTCCTTATTGCCCAACCAACTCTTTTTACTCCTGCAACACCACCCTTCGACCCCTTCAGTTAAAAGTTATGGGTAAGGTTAAAGCTTTTGGGGACAAACAGACATACATACAAACGGACGGACAGGACAAAAGCTATATACCCAGAATCTTTGATTACTGGCGCATAATATGAAACGCATGTCTACGTATGGCACCTTAAGGCCAAGGATGGTTCTCAAATGTATAGGTCAGATGTATACTCCAAAGTCATGCAAGAGTTAAAAAACATTGCAGTCCAAAGAATGGTCTTATCTTATTCCTATTGGAGCACACCTGTAATGGAACACACCTGTAAAAAGTTCTTGTGTTAACTATTAAGAAATATCAGCCAAGGGAATTTTTTTCCCCCAAAAAGGAGGTCATACTCAAAGGTGTGCATCATGAGGTAAAATAAAGGTGCCAAAAGGAAACTTCTTCTCACAAGAAGTGCATAATTGAAACATAAAAACCCTAGCAATGTAGGTCAAAATCCATGATCAAGGTCCTGAGGCAAAGAATGTTTATACCCATTGATAGGCCTTCTCTCAAGGTCTTCTCTCAAGAAATAGAAGTGCGATATATATACAAAAACAAGTCTCAGTTCCCAACGTTCCAAAATATATTATGTCAAAGTAATTTAAACTTCAAGGTCAAGGTCACTAATATTGGTACCCAAATAAAGGTCTGGACTATAATGAAATATACATGTGAAAGATACAAAAGCCCTATAGTATGGTCCCAAGCGTTCAATGTTGTGGCCAAGGCTATTTTTTTTATGAATTCTGCAAAGGTAGATCAAACTCAAAGGTCAAAGTCAATAGGTCTAATATATGGATAGCCAAAAATGTCTTCTTACAAGGTATACACCTGTGATATATGAATGCCCTAGCCATAACCATTCAAAATTATGGGCATTAAGGTTCAAGTGTTTGAGGACAAACTTTAAAGAAGCAGACATACAATAGACGAACAAACGGACCGAAAATTCGTCGATTACGGAGGCATAAAAGTAAGATCTCCTTATCCTTCTCGATTCCATGGATATTATTTATGATTTTCTTTTCTTTTTTTTTTTTTGCCAAATAATAGGAAATTCGGGATTTTTTCATAAAATAAGTCTCAAATTATCTGATGGTTGAAGTATTTTATTTATGTATTTTTTATACCAAGAGTAAGCATGTCTTCAATTAAATACACGTAAGCAATAAGGGAGTTATAAATTGCTGTAAAATTTGTCCTTAAACAGTTCAAAATCTCATTTGTCTTTCATTATGCATATACATGTGTTACCCATGGAATCTTTCCTGAAAGAATAAATCTTTCCTAAATTTCCTTGATCTTTATTATACTAGTATTATCTAAGGTTAGTTGAAAACTTCTTGACCAAATTCTTCTTCTATTTTTTTTTCAAACATTTCTATTATTTTGTGACTGGAATAAGATGATTCTTGATTACCATTGCAGTATGCTAGTGGAAAATTAAGAATGACTGTCCTGTTATAAGCAATAACCACCCTCATCTCTCTCCGCGGAGGATTATTTTAGCGAATTGAATTCAAGCACTTTCATTCAGAAAAGTAAAACCAATGATACAATAATCAAACAATTTTCTGTCTTTCTATAGAAAGCTGATATAAAATTTGTTCATGTTTGCATGCAATGCAAAAATATAATATATACAATGTTTTTTTATGAGCGTTTTTTCTTGTCATTTTACTTATCATACATATTCCACAGTTCTTTAACCAAATCATTTACAAACACCCCTCCTGTATTCCGCTCCATCATCCACAAAGCAAATATTCCGTCCAGACGAAGTTCCTTCTGAATAAAACTTTGGATGTGTTTATCATTTCGTGGATCTTTACTGTTCCCTTCACAATTTACTAGAAACTTCTTGATGTAGGCAATCCTGTTTCGAGGTATCGCGAGGCGCCATATCCAAATCAAAAGACTTGTGCAAGTCAGAAAGGAGACCACACCACAAAGGAACCACAGGAACACAAAGATTTTCTCGTTATACATATTCAGAGGTAGTACACATTGTACGGTCCAACGCAGCAAGTTCTGAAGTTGGCGTATGTGTACATCACACATTGTTACTCTTGGAAAACGCGCTAAACTCACAGTGCCATTTCTAACAGTATCATCAAAAATATCCCGACCATATTGAAGGTAAAAATCGTGTCCCAAAAATTCGTCTAGTAGGAAAAATTGTCCAATTGCATTTGCACAGTAAAGACATTTCTTTATGATATAAAGGCTAGCAAGGTAATTCCCTGACCGTTTTGACGTCAATCTCTCTAGAAACATAGGTTTTTTATTCAGAGAAATGCGAATCCTCTCCCATCTTTGAAAGATGTGTGCTATATTTTTTACGGTTTTGTTACGTTCGTCCCAGCTCATAGTTTGGGTATCAGCTGCCCTTTGAGAAATCATATCCAACTGAATTCCAGAACTTTTGTGAAAAAGCCTCCAGAGAATGCTAGGAATCTTAAAAAGAAGGGCCATGATGACCAACATGATCGGAACCCATTGGTAATACACAATCTCATTTTCCCGAGCTTCTTCTGTGATCGGGTGGTTCAGTGGTGAATAATACGTATTCCGGATCCAGCAGAGATAGTTCACGTATTCGACATACCAGTCGGTAAATTCCGCCGGACACCAGCAGTGGATCGGGGGGCCTGAGAGGTGGTGCTCGGCCCCTGTAAATACTGCGAACACAATCAGAAAGAAGGGAACGATAGTGTTGTTGAATCGGTCTGTCCAATCGTCATGACCATGGCCAAATAAACGGAGTTTTAATGTAAAATCTTCAGTTTTAGAGGCAATTTTTATGTCCTTTTGTTCTATCTTCCTGTCCATTTTTCACCGTCAACAATGGATAACAATGGATGGTTTTTCCAACTACGTGTAATTTTTTTTAAAAATTATCAGTTTATTGATAACCTTTTCCAGTAGAGGGTCACTATGGCCCCAGTTCCAGGTAAGAGTTTCGGTTTCCGGTGTGTTGACGCATAGCACCTAAACCAAATTATATCATCGTAAACTATAGAATTATAGTGAAAAGAACTATGATGCTTTAAGAGGACTGGGTGGTTGTGACCATTTTCATACTACGTATTTTGATCTCTTTTAGAAAAAGAGCTCCTGAAAAAGATATACAAAAGTGACCAAATATTAAAAGTAAAATATATGATTTTTTTTTTTGCCAAATGATAGTTGACAGCTTAAGATATCATATCTTAAAAACTAAGTTATATCTGAAGGTTAATTTGATGACCCCTAGCCTTCTAAAATTATAGCATTCGGCAGGAATCACGGCAAACTTGGAAAGTGAAAATTCTCTTTACCTGTCGTACGATATTTTAGCATTCTGTGTTCGATACCTGTAAAAAAATAAGGAAAGGGAAAGTTTTCCCGATGTTGTGTTTGATTTGTGATTCTTTTTTTTTTAAATTGGATAAATGTGTTGTGATACAAAATGTAACATTTTCCATGAAGTTAAATGTTATGTTTTTTCTGTTTGTTTTATTTCAAATTAAGAAGCAAACATTTGTTTAAAAAAGAATGGAGGGAAACATGGAGATCGTGAAAAATGAACTTAAAAAATGACATTGTATAAATACATGCTTAATTTTCATTTTACTATCCATGTTGTTTGAGTATCAATGATAGCTCAGTAGTATGCGTCTGGAAACACAGCACAATGGAATCTGACTTTGTTGGTTCAATCTCTCTGGAGCATTAATTATTATTTTTTATCAATGCCTTTTTCTAGTAAAATACCTACCGGGTATATCCAAATATGAAACAGATGAGTTAGACCCGTGGTACATGTACTACTAGTATCTTGTTTTTTAAGCTCATAATATCTGGAGTGGACATATGAGTGAAAGTAACTATCGTCAATTGATAACATGTCATCGATATATACGGTTAGTATCTAAATTTGGAGATGAAGGCCACAAGTTTTTTTTCTCCTACCCATGTAGAAGTGTTTGAATACGTTCTGCATCATATGGAGCTAAATAGATGATCATATAACGGGCGCATAACGGGCGCTATTCGTACCCATCGTTTATGTAGTTTAACATTCAAACATGGAAACAATGCAAAATCCAGAAAGACAATGCCTAGAGATAAACTTGATGTCGACGTAAATTGATCTTCAAAACGGGTAATCCTTACATCCTTAAAACCCCCTTCAATTGAAGCATTTTGATACCCGTCTACGGATGATAACCAGCAGCACCATCTATTACAATGCCTCTTTTTGACAAATCATGTCCGCGCGCATACATATTTTAAGCAGCTCGGATCTCGAAGATTTTCCTTGATGTAGCCATTCTTGATTGTTTATAGTGAATTTACAATTTAGAACACGACAAAGTAACGACTGACCATGATGCAACCGCAATAGTCTAGAATTTTTCTGAGTATTTTGTGAATAAATAAGTTTTTTCTACAAAAGCAGAAATATTCATGCAGAAAAAATGAAATACATGGCGATAACGAACAATATTCAAGCTCAAAAGACGTCCATTAAACAATACAAAATAGGAACAGAGCAAACACGGACCTCCAAAACATCAGAGGTCGGTTTAAGTGCCATGGAGTGTGCATCCCCTGCCGACCTGTCACACCCGCCGTGTGCTCCTTGTCATGATTGGGAAAAAACGGAAAAACCCGTCGACAATTCACTGTGTAAATAATGGCCTTAAATTAGTATGAAAACGTCAGGCACTTTTGGACTCAATGATAAATTGCTGACAAGGTCAAAGTATCGACCACGACTACGAAACTTACTTTAAAAGATATTCTTGTTTCATCAACTTGTTTGTCAATAATTTACTTCGTTTTAGAAATTGTTCATACGTAGAGCATGCTTATTTGTATCGAATCACTTGAGAGATATAAACCCGTATGTATGTAGGTGATGAAGGTATATTGCTGCATACGTAAGGGAAGTTGACGATTGAAAAGTTAGTCATCACGTCTTTTTAATAACAACTGTGTACTTGTATATACAATCAGAATGTATTGAAAAAGCAGTTGTCAATGGTATCAAAATCCTGGACTTTAATTTATCGTGGGAGATAGTTGTGTATAAAGTTGAAAAATCGTAAGTTTTTAAGCTGCTGATTATGGTAAAATCTTGTGAATTTCAAATTTTGAGAAAAAGTTCCCTGGAATTTATAAGTATCCACATCTGATTTTCACTACTTCTTTAATAAATATTTATGTACAGTAATCTTGAAGTTTCTCCTTCACTAATGTCTTAGTGAGGAGTGAAAGAAAGAGGCTTGGTTGAAAGGATTTTTATGAAGTTACGAAAATAAAACCCATCCATCTACTTGAAAATTGGTGTTTGTTATAAATGCTTTTGAAATTGTTTGACTGAAACAATACCGTATTATAGTGTACCTATGCTTATATACATTGTACTAAGTAGTCATTTTGAGGGAAATACACAGGTAATGTACTCCCATGTGAACTGATCTTTACATTATAAAAGCCAATTTTGAATATGCAAATTCCTCATCTGCCTGAAAATTACTACATGTATATCCATATCAAGCCTTTTCTCGTCGTTTGAGCCATTTAGAGTTACCGGTATAACTTCAGTAAAGTTAATGAGAAGTTGCTTTGAATTTTAAAATATTTGAATTAATGTTTGTTTATTATTTAGTATAAAAGTAATTTAGTAATGTTTTTAAATTGAATAATTATACAAAGTCAAAGGTATCATTCGTAAACAGTTCTATACATGTAATGGTATTTAGTATTTTATCTGACTTTATTTATCTTTACTTTATCTAAAATTATTTGTTGAGATAAAAAAAAAGTATATGTACATTGTACATCACATATCTCATATGGCTGTTTGTAAAACCAGAAATTATTTTATTAATGAAAGAAAAGATGATTATATTAACTTTTTTTGACATCTTATTGCTTTGAAACTGAAAGAGGGTCGATTTCAAGCCCTTTTTTGGCCGGACCTTTATTTGTCAAGTCTGCATAATATCAAAGTTCTTACATTTAATTTGAATTCTACAATGCAAATAACATATATATTCAATGAAAAAAACCGCCAAACAAAAAGGATTAAATAAGGAACAATATTTTGTGCGGAAGGTATTTTTAAGAAGAACGCTGGTTTTTATTAAGTGTAGATACGTAAAATATTCAAGGTATACTTTTCGAAAAATTCTTCAGAACTTAAGGAGTGTGATATTAGCTCTTAATCATTTCTTTTGGAGGGTATTATTTTTTCGAGAACGAGAAAAAAATTATTTGCAAATAAGGCACTTAACGGCTTAACATTTGCTGTTAATTAAATATAATATGAATATTATAATGAATATATATATACGTAATATTCAATTATTTTTATGAGCAATTCTTTTTCGTTCATTTTACTTATCATACATATTCCACAGTTCTTTAACCAAATCACTTATAAACACTCCTCCTGTATTCCGCTCGATCATCCACAAAGCAAATATTCCGTCCAGACGAAGTTCCTTCTGAATAAAACTTTGGATGTGTTTATCATTTCTTGGATCTTTATTGTTCCCTTCACAATTTACTAGAAATTTTTTTATGTAGGCAATCCTGTTTCGAGGTATCGCGAGGCGCCATATCCAAATCAAAAGACTTGTGCAAGTCAGAAAGGAGACCACTCCAAAAAGGAACCACAGGAACACAAAGATTTTCTCGTTGTACATATTCAGAGGTAGTACACATTGTACGGTCCAACGCAGCAAGTTCTGAAGTTGGCGTATGTGTACATCACACATTGTTACTCTTGGAAAACGCGCCAAACCCACAGTGCTATTTCCAACGGTATCATCAAAAATATCTAAGCCATATTGAAGGTAAAAATCGTGTCCCAAAAATTCGTCCAAAAGGAAAAATTGGCCGATTACATTTGCACAGTACAGGCATTTCTTTACGATGTAAAGACTTGCCAGATAATATCCTGACCGTTTTGACGTCAAGCTCTTTAGGAACATCGGACTTTTATTCGAAGGAATGCGTATTCTCCCCCATCTTTGAAAGGCAGCTGCTATATTTTTTACGGTTTTGTTACGTTCGTCCCAGGTCATGGTTTGGGTATTAGCAGCCATTTGAGAAAGCATATCCAAGTGAATTCCAGAACCTTTGTGCAATAGCCTCCATAGAATGCTAGGCATCTTAAAAAGAAGGGCCATGATGATTAGCATAATAGGTACCCACTGGTAATACACAATCTCATTTTTCCGAGCTTCTTCTGTGATCGGGAGGCTCAAAGGTGTGTAATACGTGTTCCGAATCCAGCAGAAATTGTTCACGTATTCAACATACGTGTTAGTGAATTCCGCCGGACACCAGCATTGGATCGGGGGGCCTGTGAAAAGGTGCTCTGCCCCTGTAAATACTGCGAAAGTAATAAGAAAGAAGGGAACGATAACGTTGTTAGTTCGATCTATCCAATCATCATGCCCATGGCCAAATAAACGGACTCTTATTGCATTTTCTTTGAATCCAATTTTAAGTTTATATTCTATCTTTTTATCCATATTTTGCTATCCACTTCTAAAGAAGTAAGTAACCGACACGGTTTTCCAGCGTATTTATTTTTTTAAAAATAGCTGATATAATATTGATTACGTTATCTAACGGATACTTTGGACCCTTTTCTCTTTAATCTTACAAGGTATCTTTTGCACCTTGATTTCTGTTGTTTTGCAACATTACAATTCAGTCCTGATTTCATTAAGAACACTTAATGAATATAATTCGTGGGCCATAGAATATTTGTTATTTTAAATTTATTATTGTTGTTGTTTTTGTTTTGGTAAAATAATGTTACAAAAACATTCTTAAAAGATGCCTGACTTTTATTGTCAATATCTGTGTAGTTTTTGGAGATCAGGTCTTCCCACAATCTCTGAATTCACATGGGTACCAATTGCGCCCCTTTATAAGAAGACCTAATTTTTAAATCATAGTTAGCAAAATTTAGCAAAATTTATAGAAATTCGCATACATGAGAACACACAAACAATTGTTGTGGCCAGCAGTTCGACATTTAGATAGATCAAAGGCGTATTTATTTATCATTTAGTTACTTCTATTTGTTAAACGATTCGATAAAACCCAGTGAACTTAGAATAAAAGATACACAAAGTCTGTTTTATATTTAACAACAAAAGTTAATTATAAACCTGATGATTTAAACTTTTCTGTCGTCAACTTCTTTCGTAGCTTACTTATGTAGCAATAAACCCTTATCACCTGCATAAAGGCTTTATGTCTCCCAGCTGATTTGAAACTCAAGAGCTTGCTCAACATACGAACAATTTGCTAATAAGTTAATGATACAAGAATATCAACTGTCTCCTTTAAAGTACCTATTATTAAGTAGAATACTGACTGACGTTTTTCATACTAATTGTTAGCCCTCTCCTCTATGACACCCGATTGCACCTATGATGTTTCTGGAGGTCCATGTTTACTCTGCTTCAAATTTGCGGTGGATTTGGTAAACATGCGTCTTGACAATTTATCCAAGAGGAAATATTATTAGCTAAACCTTAAATAGATCAAAATAATACAGAATGTTAACGTTTTGAGTTTAATATCAGTTTCATTTGTACAACCGATTTTAGTGAAAGAAAATAAGTGGGGAAAGTTATAATGCTGATGTAAATGGATGTTAAAGATCAGATATCATAAAATGGAACAAAACAGTTAAGTCTCAGAAACAAGCAATGATACAGTGAAATAAATATGGAGATAACGAAATGATGACTTTAAACGATACAGCTGAAATTCTTGTTTCATCAACTTTTTTGTCAATACTTTACCTTGTTTTAAAAATTGTTCATACGTAGAGCATGCTCTTGCGTATCGAATCAACTGAGATATATAAACTCCGTATGCATGTGATGAAGGTATACATTGTATTGCTGCATACGTGAGGGAAGTTGACGATAGAAAAGTTAAAGTCATCACGTTTATTGTAGAGTTCGGTTGTTAGATTACCATTAACGTCTTTTTTCAAGTAAAATATCCAAATATGAAACAGATGTTTCAGATTCTGTGTTATTATCATCGTATTTACAATAGCCTGGGAATTGTGCATTTAAATCAGCTTCTGTTTATTATTTAGGAAAAGTATAGTGAACGCAATTCTCAAAAGACTTTATTATCAATGCATAAAAATTCTGTATTTTGTGTACATGTGTATACAGTGTTATTGGGTTTCCGCTCTATTTAACTTCGTATTTAATACGGATGCATGCGTTCGGTTTAAACAACTTTTATATCTTTTTTCCCTTTTCACCGACTTCTAATGTTGTTTGGTCTCTTTTCTTATAACCATTTTTACTTTTACATACTAACTTGATAAAATAGTTAAATGGAAAATCTGCATAAGTAATATGTAAGGCTCAATCTTCTCGTTGTATTCATTACGAGGATAAAGATTTTACCTACTGACAACGCGTATGAATAGAATACATTAAGAATATTATAGCTTTTTGGTGTAGAATTTCACAACATCTTTTGTAATAAGAAAAAAACGGAGAATGACAAGGTTGAAAAAGCAGGGATGCAAAGTTAAAAATAAGATAAGAAAACGAATATTTTATGATGTAATTATTCTAACTTTAATTAATTTATTTAAAAAATATATAATTGCAGTGGTTTGAATATCATGTAAATAGATAATGAAAAATACCAATACTTTACAAGTTTCACTGAAAGCTAAAATAATCATCAGGAAACCATTTTATGCAAAATATGAACTGCTGACATTGGCCTTTGAACTTATGACCACGTACAGAGTTCATTCCAAAATCTGAATGAAAATTAGATGCATTGTTAAATTAAAGTATTAAAGAGTTAGACACCATGTAGGAAATTAACATGCGGCCCAAGTCGATGGCCTCTGATGTTTTTACTAAAAAGGTCCTTTGTAAGTCACACAGAGTTTTTCATGCATTACAAAATATCAGAAAAAAGTAAATGCAAAATCCAAAGACCTTTCAGAGTTCTCATCCGGAAAGTAAAGATCGAATTAGGGACAGACAAAGTCATATTAATATCCCCATCTTTTAAGAAAGTGGGATAAAAAATAAGGTGATACAAAACAAATTACAGAAGGGAAGAAAAGTTCATTGAAATTTTATACAATTGAGATTGATAAAGATTTTTACCAAACAAAACTTAAAAAGACATACATGTACCAGTAAATTAAAATATGTATGTAGAGATTAAAACAAATATTTCATAGATCTATTGTATAAAAGCTTTGTAATTATATATTTAAATGCATTTATGAAAAATGCGTCAACTTTTACTGTTTACAAAATGTTCCCATAATTTTTGGACAAGATCAGTCGCAAAAACATCACTGGTATTTCGCTGCACCATACGAAGCACAAACGCACCATCTTGGCGCAAAAAATCTGACACAAATTCGTGAAGCTTTTTCTTGTCTATTTCATGATTTTTACCTTTGTTTTTGGGATGGATTTTGAGCATTTTTTCAATGAACACTCTTTTATTTATCGGGAAAAATACTCGCCACATCCAGAGAAGCAAACTGGCAAATGTCACTACGGCAACAAAAGCGTACCAGTACCAAAGGAAAAAGAAAATGGCCTCATAGAACATATTTAATGGAAGCACACACTGCACAGTCCAGTCCTGTACATTTGACATTTGTCTTATTTTAAAGTCACACATTGTGACACGTGGAAATTGTAACAATCCCAACTGATTGATTTCCGAAGGGGGTCGCTGGAAGAAATCTATACCCAGCGTTAAGTAGAAATTTTGTCCCAGAATGACGTCAAGTAAGAAAAACTGTCCTATCACGTTTATGCAGTAAATGCATTTAATGATCATGTAAAGCGCCGTGAGATAGTTCCCACTTCTATTATCACAATTCAAGTTCCTTATTTTTGAAAAAAATCTTCTCCAATTCTTGTCATGATTGTGATACAAATGAAGCCAGCGGTGAAGATAAGACGCAAGGTTTTCAATAGTTTCTTGGCGTTTCTTCCACGTCATTTCCTGTGAGTCCGCGGCCTTTCGTCCTATGTTTCCAACGTTAACACCGGAGTATACGTTAGTCAATCGCCAAAGTATATTTGGTAGCTTAAACATAAGCGCCATCAAGAACAGTATAATAGGTCCCCACTGGTAATATTTTATAACAAAACGTCTTCGTATTACGTCATCCTGTGATAACGCCTCTGAAGAAGGAACATAATACGTGTTTGAAATCCAGCAGTGGTATTGAACGTATTCCACATGAGTATCCGTAAACTCCGCTGGACACCAACAATCGATTGGGGGTGTTGACGTGATGTATTGCACGAAAGTCGTGTAGGCTACACATGCTAAGATGAAAAACATCGTCACGACGTAGTTCAGACGATCCGCCCAATCGTCGTCCTTATTTCCGAACAAGTCGACGGAGAAAATGAATGTCTCTTCCACCTCGACTCCATACTCCTTTTTTGTTGTCTTTGCACCGAACGTATAGCGAGATCCGCGAGAAGAAACGTTCACTTCGTCATCCCCTTCCATGTTACATTGTATGTCTATCTGGGGTATTTTATGACAATGGGACAAAAATAAACTGACTGGTTTTTTTCCTTTATTTCCATATTTCGTTTTTACTGTAGTCTTGGCTTTCCTTGAAAAGACAGGTAGTTTTGTGTCATCAACAGTGCATACAGATATTGTTTATTTCTTTGTGGTATTTAGGCTAGACAGAAGAAATGACACAGGTCAGAAACAAGAAACGATAAAGTTCAGAAACAAGAAACGATACACCTCAGAAACAAAATACGATACTGCGATACACAGAAACAAGAAACGATAAAGTACAGAAACAAGAAGCGATACAACTTTCCCCTTAGAAACAAGAAATTATACAGCTCAGAAATAAAATACGATACTACGATACACAGAAACAAGAAATGATACAGTTTTCCCTTAAAAATAAGAAATGATACACAGAAACAAGAAACGATACAGATCAGAAACAAAAAGCGATTGAGCTCAGAAATAGAAACGATTACTTAAAACGAAACGATACAGGTCAGATACAGAAAACGATACAGCTCAGAAAAAATATACGAAACAGCTCAGCCTTCATTTTCTGGGTTCCTTCTAATTTACCAAAACTTATTCCTGAATGACAAATATGTTCTCAAATATATATTAAATATATAATATTTGATGAACAGGTATTTCATCTCATTAAGTGTTTAATATAAGGCAGTTTGCTTTGTTTTATTTTTTTTTTTCGAATATTGTTCAGAAAGAATTTGATGAAATATAACAGGGGCGTAGCAACAGGGGGGGCCTGCCCCCCCCCCCCACTTTTTTTCCCAACCTTACTTATACTGCAGGAAATGTTAATAGAAAGCCTGGTTGGCCCCCTCCCCCACTTTTAGTGATGTACCGAAAATGTAGTAGCGGTATTAAAATTGGTACTGAAAGTAGTTGACACTGAGAAAAAGTTTACCTACCCCCCCCCCCCCCCCCCCCCCAATGAAATAGGATTTTCGACTTTGGGCAAGTTTTTCCTTTCTTTTTTTTTCCAAACTTTTTCAGGTCAGTAAAAAAAAATTTTCTCTGGCCGGCCCCCCCACTTTCAAAAACGATGCTACGCGCCTGTATAAGGTTTCTAGATTTAATATTAAGAGAGAACTGTTTTTGATCCATGCGTCACATTGGAGCTCTATCTTGCATAATTATAATAAAGTCTGGGAATTGTGTATTTTCATGATAATTTAAAAAAAAAAAGTAGTACTCATGGAATAAATACTACTCACAATTTTAAAAGACTACCTTATATTATTGTTGCTGTTAATTTTGAGGTCAATACAATGACTTAGCCACCTGAGGAGTACAATATTCACCGAGCCCGTAAAAAAAATTAAAATATGAATTGCTGACTTTGGCCTTTGATCTTCTGACCTCTTACATAGTGCATACCAAAAGAAGAAGACATATTAAATACTTAAAACCAGATTGTTACAGAGTGAGATACCATATAGGAAATTCTACGCCGTAGTTCTAGACCTTTGACGTTTTGATCTGAAAATTAACAAGAGGCCCAGGGGCCACAGCGCTCACCTGAGCACACCGGCTAGGAAAAAGCAAATATCAGATCAGAAATTAAAGTTTACTGAGGTTGGAGGGGGGCTTAAATTTTAACCCACCAGGGGGTCTTGATTTGAACAAACTAGAATCTACACTACCTGAGGATGATTCCGTATAAAATTAAATATCATTCACTAATCATGGCTTTGAAGCACTTGAAAAGGAGATTTTAAAAGGTTTCGCTATATATTCTTATGAAAAACTTTGATCGCCCATTTTTGCCCCATCCTATCCCGGGGGGTCATGATTTGAACAAACTTGAATCTACGCTACCTCAGGATGATTCCACATTAGTTTCATCTTTCCTGGCTCAGTGGTTCTTGAGAAGAAGATTTTTAAAGATTTTTCCTATATATTCCTATGTAAAACTTTGATCGGCCAGTTTGGCCACACCCTACCTCCGGTGGTCATGCTTTGAACAAACTTGAATCTACACTACCTGAGGATGATTCCACATAAGTTTCATCTTTCCTGGACCAGTGGTTCTTGAGAAGAAGATTTTTAAAGATTTTTTCCTATATATTCCTATGTAAAACTTTTAATGGCCATTATGGCCCCAACCTATCCCCAGGGATCATGATTTGAACAAATTTGAATATACACTACCTGAGAATGATTCCACATGAGTTTAATCTTTCCTGGCCCAGTGGTTCTTGAGAAGAAGATTTTTTAAAGATTTTTTCTATATATTCCTATATAAATCTTTGATCGGCCATTTTGGCCCCACCCTACCCCCAGGGGTCATGATTTGAACAAATTTGAAACTACACTACCTAAGAATGATGATAACATGAGTTTCATCTTTCCTGGCTCAGTGGTTCTTGAGAAGAAGATTTTTTTAAAATGCCATTAATTTTTCTCAAATTCATAATTACCTCCCCTTGGAAAAGGGCGTTGCCCTTCATCTAAACAAACTCGAATCCCCTTCAATCAAGGGTACTTTGTGCCAAGTTTGGTTGAAATTGGCTCTTGAGAAGAAGATGAAAATGTGAAAAGTTTACAACGACAACAACGACTACGACGACAACAACGACAGACAACGGACAAATTTTGATCAGAAAATCTCACGTGAGCCTTCGGCTCAGGTGAGCTAAAAGCAAAAGAGTCCTTTCTAAGTCACAAAAAAGATGTATGTCATTTAAATAACAGTAAAAAACTCATTGCTATGCGAAAGGCCTTTCAGAGTTCTCGTGCGGAAAGTAAAGGATAGAAGAAGCAAAATGGGAGTCAGACAAGGCCATTTTTACTTTCCCCCTCTTTAATTTAAGAAGAACAATTTAAGAAAAAAAAATTTAATCTTCTAAAGAACTACTTGGCCAGAAAAGCTAAAACTTATGTGGAAGCATCATGGGGTAGCGTAGAATCTACGTTGTTAAAATCATGACCCCCAGTGGGTAGGGCGGGGCCACAATAGGGAACCCATGTTTTACATTAAAATTTATAGGAAAAAATATTCTTCTCAAGAACCCTTGGCCAGGCAACTGAAACCTACGTATGTGAAAGCATCCTGGGTTAGTGTATATTATTAAATTGTTCAAATCATGACCCCCAGGGTAAGGGCGGGGCCACAATTTGGAATTTTCAAACTTAGATATATAGGATTTTGTTTAGCTCACCTGAGGTGAAAGCTCACGTGAGCTTTTCTGATCACCTTTTGTCCGTTGTCCGTCCATCCGTCTGTAAACTTTTCATATTTTCATCTTCTTCTCAAAAACCACTGGGCCAATGTTGACTAAACTTGGTACAAAGCATACTTGGGTGAAGGGAAGTTTAAATTGTGAAAATAAAGAGCTAAGTCCCGTTCCAAGAGGATATAATACAAAAATAGGGTTGGGTCATTAACAAAAGAACAAATTAACAAAAATTTGAGAAGTTGAAAATAAAGAACTTGCATTTCATGTTGTGACTATTATAGTTCGATCAATGTATAAATAAAATACATAATAAAGAAAATCATTGTTAACAAACGCTAAATTTTCAACTAATGACAACTATAAGATATAACAATTTAGACATCTACATATGATACAGTTCTGAATCAAAAAACGGAACAGCTCAAAAACAAGAAATGATAAAGCACAGAATTAAGAATTGACGCAGCTCAGAAACACGAAGCTATACAGCTTAGAAAAAGAAACGATACAGTTCAAAACCAAGAAATGACACAGAACAAAAAAATGGAACAGCTCGGAACCAAGAAATGATACAGCTCAAAAACAAGAATTGATACAGCCCAGAAATAAGAAATGACGCAGCTCAGAAACACAAAGCTAACAGTTCAGAACCAAAAAATGATACAATTCAGAACAAAGAAATGATACAAAACAAAATATGATACAGTTCAGAACCAAGAAATGATACAGAACCAAGAAATGATACAGCTCAAACCAAAAAATGGTACAGCTCAGAACCAAGAAATAATACAGAACCAAAAAATGATACAGCTCAGAACCAAGAAATGATACAGCTCAGAACCAAAAAATGGTACAGCTCAGAACCAAGAAATAATACAGAACCAAAAAATGATACAGCTCAGAACCAAGAAATGATACAGCTCAAACACAAAAATGATACAGGCCAGAACCAAAAAATGGTACAGCTCAGAACCAAAAAACGGTACAGCTCAGAAACAAGAAATGGTACAGCTCAGAAACAAGAAATGGTACAGCTCAGAAAAGATGAACAAAACAGCTCAACATTCATTTTCTGGGTTTTCTCCTAAATTACCAAGACCTGTTCCCGATTGACAAATATGTTCTCATTTTTATATTAATTACTAGTATTCAATAATTAATATTTGCTTAACAGGTATTTGGCCTCATTAAGTTTAAATATTAGACACTTTGCTTTATTTCAATTTTTCGCCTTATGTTGACAACAGATGATTGGGTGAAACATAATGTTCCTCATATTGATATTTATAATGAGTCACATCGAAGCTCTATACATTCAATGCATAATTATTATCATTACATATAGCCTGGGAATTGTGTATTTTAATGAGCCTTCATTCTTTTTAAACATTGAAATCGTGGAAAAAATACTACGCACCATTTTTAAAAGACCCTTAACAATGCATTGCACAGCCAGCTCAAGGATGATTTGCTACAAAAAAAAAAAATAAGTTTATCATGTACGCATAAATAAACCTGTAAATAGGTGCAGCCTATTTACAGAAGACCCTGTAATCGAGTTTTCCACTTTTTTACCTTCGTATTTAAACGGTTCAGTTGTGTTCGGTTTAAAAAAAACTTTTTGTTTACTAGTAACCCCCCCCCAATGTTTCATCTACTTTTTATATTTGTTTGGTCTCTTTTCTTATACCGGTATTATCTTTGCATAATAATTTGATAAAATAATTATACGGAAAATCTGCATACGTAATACGTTAAGGCTTCTAGAAAGGTTCGGACTTCTCATTGTACTACTGTAATTAGATAAGGAATTTACATAAAGACAAATTGTATGTACAGGAACGTAGCTTGGTTTGGGTGGGAGAAACAAAACCTTTCACTTTAGAAAACATTCATTAAAAGCCGGCCCTCCCACCCCATCCCCTACTTTTTCAGGTTTTTATGCGCCCGGATCGATAGAACCGGGCGTATATTGTTTTTGTCCTGTCTGTTTGTCTGTTTATCTGTTTGTCTGTTTGTCTTTCTGTCTGTTGTCAACTTTAACCTTCGCCATAACTTTTGCACAATAAGAGATAGAGACTTCATATTTGGTATGCATACTCCACTAATAGAGTCCTTTCAAATGACATCAAGGTCAATGACCTTGTGACCTTGACTGTGACCTATATGCTAAAAATAGCTTTTTCCACTGTTTGTCATAACTTTTGAACCATAGGAGATAGGGACTTCATATTTGGTATGCATACTCCACCAATAAAGTCCTTTCAAACGACGGCAAGGTCAATGATCTTGTGACCTTGACTGTGACCTATATGCTAAAAATAGCTTTTTACACTTTTTGCCATAACTTTTGAACTATAGGAGATAGGGACTTCATATTTGGTATGCATACTCCACCGATTAAGCTCTTTCAAATGACGCCATGGTCAATGACCTTGTGACCTTGACTGTGACCTATCTGCTAAAAATAGTTTTTTTGAACTTTGTTGCCGCCGGGCGCATAGTGTTTCACAAACACATCTTGTTCAGGTAGGGTTACCCCCCCCCCCACTTTAAAATCGATGCTACGTCACTGGTGTGAATTGATAACACATGTATTGAGAAATATTATATTAGACCTCTGGTATAGAATTCTAAACCACCTTCCTTGTAACGAGGAAAAAGCAAAGTAGAATAAAGAATAAGATTGAAAAAGCACGGTTGAGAAGTTTAAAATAAAAGAACTTGTATTTCAGGTTGTTACTACTTTAATTCGATCAATGTATAAATAAAATATATAATAATGAAAATTATTGCTAACAAATGCTTACTTTTCAGCTAATGAAAACTATTAAAAAACAGTTGAGACACCTACCTATGGACGGAATTGGGGCTGTGTTTTGAGCAAAAAAAAAACAAAAAACAAACACCCTTTTTCAATTGAAATTGATATTATAATACATAGCCTAATCTAGATTTAAACAACAAAACTTTACATGACATGCATGTAAATAAAAATATGCTTTTAGAGATTCTAACAAACATCTATACATGGTATATAAGCCTCATATAATGACATATTTATTCATTTATGAAAAATGCGTCAACTTTTACTGCTTACAAAATGTTCCCACAATTTTAGGGCAAGATCAGTCGCAAAAACGTCACTAGTATTTCGCTGCACCATACGAAGCACAAACGCACCATCTTGGCGCAAAAAATCTGACACAAATTTATGAAACTTTTTCTTGTCTATTTCTTGATTTTCCTCTTTCTTGTCCGGATGGATATTGAGTAGTTTCTCAATGAACACTCTTCTGTTTATTGGGAAAAATACTCGCCACATCCAAAGAAGCAAATTTGCAAATGTTACCAAGGCAACGAAACCGTACCAGTACCAAAGGAAGAAGAAAATGGCCTCATAGAACATATTTAATGGAAGCACACACTGCACGGTCCAGTCCTGTACATTTGACATTTGTCTTATTTTAAAGTCGCACATTGTGACACGTGGAAACTGTAACAATCCCAACTGATTGTTTTCGGAAGGGGGTCTCTGGAAGAAATCTATACCCAGCGTTAAGTAGAAATTTTGTCCCAGAATCGCGTCAATCAGGAAGAACTGCCCCGCCACATTTATGCAGTATATGCATTTTATGATCATGTAAAGCGCAGTAAGATAGCTCCCACTTCTTTTATCACAATTCAAGTTTCTTATTTTTGAAAAAATGTTTCTCCGATAAGGGCGATACAAATGTAGCCAGCGGTAAAGGTAAAATGCAAGGTTATTAATGGCGTCCTGACGTTCATCCCACGTCATTTCCTGTGATTCCGTGGCCCTGCGTGCTATAAATCCAACGTTAACACCGGAGTATACGTTAGTCAATCGCCAAAGAATATTTGGAAGCTTAAACATGAGTGCCATCAAGAACAGTACAATCGGGCCCCACTGGTAATATTTTATCACAAAACGTCTTCGTATGACGTCATCCTTTGACAACGCCTCTGAAGGGGGCACATAATACGTGTTTGATATCCAGCAGTGGTATTGGACGTATTCCACATGAGTGTCCGTAAACTCCGCTGGACACCAACAGTCGATCGGGGGTGTTGACTTGATATATTGCAGGAATGTCGTGTAAGCTGCAAATGCACATATGAAGAACAACGTCACGATATAGTTCAGACGGTCCGCCCAATCGTCATCTTTATTTCCGAACAAATTGACGGAGAGAATGTACGTCTTTTCCACTTCGACGCCATGTTCCTTCTCCGTTGTCTTCTTGAAGAACGTATAGCGAGATCCCTTAGCCGAAACGTTTACTTCATCGTCCCCTTCCATGTTTATGTCTTAGTTTCTTTTTTATGACAGTGGAACAAAAATAAACTGATCGGTTTTTTCTAATATTTCTATTACGTTTTTAAACTTCCCCAAGGTCTTGGTTTTTCCTTGAAAAGACGGGTAGTTGCATGTCATCAACAGCTGGATATTGTTAATTTATATGCGTATCAATAGACGTATGGGGCTTCTATTCACAAAACACTTATTATACGACTCAAAAGCAATAAAGGCCGGAGTATTTAAAGGAAATATTTTATTTTAAAATATACCGTAGAGTAAGCAATGAATTGGTTTCATTATACCCTTCGCTTGAAAAGCGGGAGGGTATATAGTAATCGGGAAGTTCGAACGTCTGTCTGTCCGTCCGTCTAGCTGTACGTCCGTCTGTTACGCTTTGGAGTACCCATCTCTTGTCCACAACTTCTCATTTACCTCTGACTGAAATTTTAAAATTTCAGAATCGTTGTTATATTGTGCATCTCCTATTTTACTTTTCGATCTTACACTTTCTGTGAGTCTCCCAGAGCAAAACATAGACTCAGTCATTCTAACACATGGGAGCTGGGTGTATCATTTAGTGAACTCAATGCTCACAGTACCTCTATTTTTCTTTGCAATTTTTATGCTTTTAATGGTTTGATAGTTCTTGCGTACAATCTCATGGAAAAAAAGCATGTCATCAGGAAACTGCATCATTCTTTGTTTTGAAGAGCTTAACACATACTTTTGCACAATTCTGCATTGTTTACTTTGTCAATATTGGGGTTATTACGTCTTAACTATTCTTTTACATTGGAATGTTCATGCTTCCTTCGTAAAACCTTTTGGTGTATCTTGTCTTTTGACGGCTTATTTAGTTTAAAATGATGGATAAGGTTGTAACTAAAAACTTCTCAACACAACATGCGCTCATAAAATTTGCAGTTGTTCTTTATCGCTATCTTGGACAAAGTCGACTGTTTTTTTCTGGTTAAAGTATTACACACAAAGTTAACGACAAGTTCAAGCGTTGTCCAAGATCATAAACTACATGTATATATTGGAAATGTCCTGCAATAAAGCGACGCTGACCTAAATACAGGACCATGCACGTTTGGTATCGTTATCTAAGTGTCAACATAAAGAAGTTTTTGAAACTCGACCTAAGAGGTTTTGACAACCAAATACCTCTGCATCTCGGTAAAGAGGAAATGTACTGTCTTAATCCCTACACACCAGGGAAATGTTAAAAAATTCATTTGACGTAAACTCTTCGGATTTTAACCTTTTCCCGTTTCTTGTCAAACACTTTGAACAATCAAGCTTAATTCCATTAAAATTCATGAAAACAAGGTGTGCTTCGCAAGAAAGAGCACCACTCACGTGGATAGCCTAGTGGTGAAGCGGTCGCTTCTGGATGTACAAAGTTCGAATCTCGTTCCCTGTGCTGCATTAACCTGGTACGCTTCATCCTTCAACTTAACTGCAATAATGTAGCCCTCTCCCTTTTTTTTTTTTTTTTTTTTTGGGGAGAGGGCTACAACTCCTTAGGATCTCCATAATGGTGCAGCTGCGGGTGTGATTGATTCGCTCCCGCACGGATTTCGGCTCAAATTATCAGTAAATTGCTATTTTATTAACATTTCTTACCTTGACTCCAAATAAGTAGTCACCCAAGACGTAAACCAATGCAAAAATATACAGAACGATCCCTATATCGCTTATTTTTCGTGTATGTCAACATCACAACTCGAATTTATCCGCCATGTTTACTGACCTTGATAGATTGTATTTTGGGACAGCCAATGAGAATTTAGGTTCTATAGGAGCGGATCTTTTTGGAATTCCCTTATTTTAAACATAAATATCGCTGCTTGCATAAAAATAACACTTAAAATGGTTTTATATACCTATGTTTTTGTGATGAAATTCAGCACAATCATTTATAAACACCGATAATTGCTTTATTCAGTTGTTCTAAATTTCAAGCGAAAGTCTCATTACGTCACGCGTGAACTGTCATGGCTGCTGAAGTAAACTACCAGGAAACATGCAGAGTTATTTTACAAGTTTTTCGCATTTAACGGGGTCTGTTGTTGACAGTGAATAAACATTTCGTCTTATTAGAAGTAAGTTGAATGTAAAAATAATTTATTTTGCCTGCAGTCGCTCCTATTAAAAAAAAAAATTTGCACCATTACGGAGATGCGATGGAATTGTAGCCCTCTCCAGAAAACGTCAGATTAAAAAAAATCGGAGAGGGCTACATTATTGCATCCTTCAACTGTCTCCAGTGCCAAGTAAAAGCCTTAATTCGTCGCATCGGTACATGATGACGTCTCATATCAATGAAAAATTCTCAATTAAAAGAATGTAAAAATAATCAATCAAACAAATCATAATTTTATTTCTTTTTTATTTCTGAACTATATGTTTATAAACAACTTGGTTCACTAAGTATTGCAATTTGAATTACTGGTAATAAAATATTTATGTAATCACTAAAATACATCATAAAAAATAAAAATGCTATCGGAACATAGTTTACAACTGTACATTCCCTTAGTTCCTGATTACGAAGGCACGTGAAATTTCACAGGCAGCTTACACTGAAATTTATACAACCTTTGAAGATTTATATCAGTAAAATGCCCAATGTATCACTAGTGGCATACGTACAAAAGTACAGTTACCTTGCTAACGTACACCAAACAAAAAAGCACATTTTTAATTGGTCATCCGATTAATTATAGCGAGCAATGAATGAAAGGCATGGCGATTGATACAATATTATGAACACATGCTAAAAATCAGAGATCAACAAAATTATGGGCCCTTGACCTATTAACAACTGAACATAACAACACATTGGTCCCTGAAACTCATGCTTCCAAAAACAATTTCACCCAAACCTAAATGTCAAACTAAATGGTATATGGAAAATTTATTCAAAAATAGAACATATATCTCTGGAAAAAAATTAATATCATGAGAATGCAACTGGTTTTTATCACAGTTTCTTTGCTCTGAAATATTATTCGTTGATTCATGAATTGCATTAATAAAGTGAAATGTTATGATCATGAATTTACAAAAAAATCACTGGCCAATCAACGAGTAACAAATACCATAGCAATACTTGTCATGTGATCATTTTTGAATTTACCGAGTGCAAATCGGGGAAAAAAGTTCTCAAGAAATTCAAAATTTGACATAACATAACTATAAACAAAAGTTTAAAAAAAAACATGGCGTCATGGACGTGGAATCGTTTATTTGCTGTAGTTTCTTTAATGTCGACTGGAAGACACTGGACACGGAATGATTGAGATTCGGTGGACATTCTGCGTTAAAATAAATAAAAAAAACTTTTGACTGGAAGATCAAATGTATATCAATCAAAAAATTGAAAATTAATTATCTACTGCATAGATGAAGTGTCAATGCCCAAATGGTATGACTAGGCTTAAACAGCTTGGTCTTGCTCTTCTAATGCTTAGCACCAAAGGCAGGAGCAAGACTAAACGGAAGTGTCGTTATTTCTGACCGTGACGTCATAAGCTGGTTGACTATGAAAATTAAGCACCTGTTCAAACCAACACAAATGGCATAAAGTATATATTTGTGTCAACTTTCGCAACTTGGAATGTCTCTTGCACACTTCCCATTTGAACTAAACTTTCACAATACTGTCGTATCTAAGCGTGTGTTTCGCCATAATCGTCACTAAGGGCTTTTTTCACTAAGGGTTTTTCCTTGTATATACCCCATAAGTTCAATACCAAGTCAGTCAGCAAGATAGCATTAGTGTTCCTAGATACGATTCTTAAAACAAAGAGACCATCATCACGGAGGTACTGGTCGGCGAACTGGCGGCAGATCTTCTTGTCGTCCTCGCCGTGGAGTTCGTCACGCACCTTCAGGAACTTCTTGATGTAGGCCACGCGGTTCTGCTTCACGAGCACGCGCCAGATCCAGAACAAGAAGTTGCCGCATGTGATCACGGCAACCACCACGAACCAGAACCACAGGAAAATGAAGATTTTCTCGTTGAACAGGTTGATTGGAAGAACGCACTGAACGGTCCACCTCTGAAGGTTCTGCAGCTGACGAATGTCGAAATCACAAAGCGTGACGCGCGGGAAACGGCGGCTTTCCTTGATTTCGTAGTTCTTGGCCAATCCGTCGAGAACTTCTAGACCATAGGCGGAATAGAATCCGTGTCCCATGAAGGAGTTCAGGATGAAGAACTGGCAGATGATGTTGACGCAGTATAAGACTTTGACAAACATGTACAGTCCGGTAAGATAGGTGCCTTCGCGTTTATTACACAAGATACAGCAGACCTTGGAAGCCTTTTGTTTCATTCGAACCATGAAGTTATAGTTGTACTGTCGGTGAGTCTCCAACCAGCGGTCCATGTATAAGGCGATGTGTTTTACAGTTTCGTCTCTCTTCTTTGGCTCGGCGGTCTGAGTTCCGGCCGCCATGTTGACGATTTTTTCTAGGTTAAGTCCTGAGTAGCCGTTCAGCATTCTCCATACAAGACAGGGCACCTTGAACATGAAAGCCATGAAGACGAGAATAATAGGGACCCACTGGTAGTAGGTCAGTTCCTCCTGACGGCGGGTTTCGTGATCCAGAGGGATCGTTTCCTCGAGAGGAACATAGTACGTATTTTTAATCCAGCAATAGGATTTCGTATACGCTACATAGGACCCCGTGAACTGAGCTGGACACCAGCATTCTATAGGGTTTCCTACATATTGTCCACCACCCGTAAACACGGCGAAAATACACAGCAAGACCACGGTGTAGATGTGATTGACGCGGTCCACCCAGTCATCATCGTCGTTACCTCGGAGCTTGTTCCAGCTCGCCCAACTTCCGAAAATCCAAACCACCCTGCAAAACGAAACACTCAGAATAAATAATCGTAAAAGACAGATATATGCAAAATTAAGATAAACCCGTTTTCTAGTTTTTGCTTATGATAATTAGAATATTTTTGTAATATGTTGTTATCTGACTGACAACGATAGAAAAATATGTTTTGAC